GCTGGATGTTCCCCTGTCTGTGCGTTGAGCTACAAGCACTACCTGTACTCACCTGGCGCTACCTTACTGCTTGGCGCTACCTGACTCACTGCCGTCCTGTATTGGCGACCTCACCTCTTTGATGATGCAGGCTTTCACACGCTCTTCTACTCACTTTGGGGGATGAGTGCTGTACTCCACCTGGTTGATGAGTGCAGGGCTTCCTTGCTACTGTACTCACCTGGTTGATGTGCAGGGTACACACTACCTGTACTCCCTGGTTGATGAGTGCAGGGTACACCGCTACCTGTATCCACCTGGTGATGAGTGCAGGCTACACACCTCCTGTCTCACTGGTTGATTGAAGGCTACACACGCTACCTGTATCACCTGGGTTTATGAGTGAGGGCTACCTGACATTAACCTAATAGGCTAAACCCTGTCTGGATGAGTGCAGGGCTACACTGCTACCTGTACCACCTGGGTTTATGAGTTTCAGGGCTACACACGCTACCTGTACTCACCTGGTTGATGGTGCAGGCTACACACGCTACCTGTACTCACCTGGTTCGGCATGACCTGCTAGGGCACACACCCGCTACCTGTACTCACCTGGTTGATGAGTGCAGGGCTACACATGCTACCTGTACTCACCTGGTCGGGCACACGTGGGCAGCATCTGCCTGGCTATTCATAAGTGCGGCATACACAGCGCCTATATTTTTTTCACTCGTGAACGCGAGAGTGGCGTTGCCGGAGCGTTCATTACGCACGCGTGCGTTCAGTATACGCTCTTTCTCTCTTCGTGTAGACACACACGCGCAGAAACGGACACAGACACAAATACACACACACACACAACACATCACACACACACACACACACACACACACACACACGAGTGATGTAGTGGAGGCAGGAGCCATACATAGCTTTAAGACGAGGTATGATAAAGCTCATGGAGCAGGGAGAGAGAGGACCCAGTAGCGTTCAGTCAAGAGGCAGGGCCAGGAGCTGAGTCTCGACCCCTGCAACTACAATTATGTGAGTACGCACATGTACAGGCTGTAGCGGGACAGGACGGCAGAAAGCAGGGTAATGACAGATAGTAGCAGGAACTGCAGGCAGTAGCAGGATTGGCAGGGGTGGCAGGTAGTAACAGGGTTGGCAGGGGTAGCAGGTAGTAACAGGGTAAGCAGGATTGGCAGGGATGACAGATGGCATTAGTGGCAGGCAGTAGCAGGAGTGGCAAGTAGCAGCAGTAGGGTTAGCAGAGGTGGCAGGGGATAGTGGCAGGAGTGGCAGGTAGCAGCAGGGTTGGCAGGGTTGACAGGTAGTTGCAGAATGACAAGATGTAGCAGCAGATTTAGCAGGGGTGGCAGGGGATAGTAGCAGGAATGGTAGATAGTAGCAGGGTTAGCAGGGTTGGCAGGGGTGGCAGGGAGAGCTCTATCACACACTTCATAGACCGGTTGATATATCTTAACCAGGTAAAGAGTTGACTGGCATTCCCTCCGTCTCTATTAATACCTTCCCGGCGGCCCCAGCGAGAGTGGGAGGGTGAGTGGGAGGGTGAGTGGGAGGGTGAGTGGGAGGGTGAGTGGAAGGGATGAGTGGAAGGGGTGAATGGAAGGGATGAGTGTAAGGGATGAGTGGAAGGGATGAGTGGAAGGGATGAGTCGGAGGGTGAGTGGGAGGGTGAGCGAGACAGTGAGTGGGAGAGTGAGTGGGAGGGTGAGTGGGAGAAGAAGAAGAGGAAATAATAAGCATAGTTACATTGAAGATAATAAAAAAATCTTACATGTAATCGACACCTCAGACATGGGTCTTGCTCCTAGGACGCCGCCGGCATTACCTCTCTAGATAGCAACGCTGAGAGATCATCGAACGACCCAGTGGTTCACTGGGTCGTTCGATGGTACCATTGCATCACTGAAAAAAAAAGTGAGGCAGTCTGGCTGGGAGATTAACATATCATTCTGGGTGGTTTGTAAACGGAGGTGAGGGTACCATCTAACGCCCCGAATGATTGCAGATCAATGGCATTAGTGCAGTCAGTCAACAGAGTGGCATGCAGTAGGGTTAGCAGAGGTGGCACGTGATAGTGCAGGAGATTTGCAGAACAGTCAGGTGCAGGGACAGTATTGCAGAATACAAAGAGCAGCGAGTTTTAAAGAGCAAGGGTTGCAGGGGATAGTAGCGAATGGTAGATAGTAGAGGTTAGCAGGTTGGCAGGTTCAGGAAGCTCAAATCACACACTCAATAAGACATGGTGATATATTCTCTGAAACCAGGTAAAGAGTGACTGCATTCCCTCCGTATATATTAATACCTTCCCGTAGGCCTAACCACGTGAGTTTTGGGAGGTGGTGAGGTGGGAGTTCGAGTGGAGGGTGAGAAGGATCAGTGGAGTGATGGAAGGAAGACTGTAAGAAGTGAAGGGAAGTGAATTGGTGATTGTGTAAGGATATGAAGGATGCAGTTGAAGAGACTGTCGAGTGAGTGGGGTGGTACCCATGATACCATATGTGAGATTGACGTGGAAGGGTAGCACAAAAGGAGTAAAATAAGAGTAAATAATAAATAGTTACATGAGATAAAAAAAATCTTCATGATAATCGTAACTCACATGGTGTTCTCTACATACCCGCAATAACTCCTAATAGCAAAAGCTGAAGATCATCGAATTACCCAGTGTTCACGGGTCGTTCGATAGTACCAAATGCATACTGAAAAAAAATGAGAGCCAGTCAGGCTGTGAGATAATCATTAATTCTGGGGTTGTAAACGGAGGACTGAGTCCCACATTCCATGCCCTACATGAATACAATCAATGTGAATACCATACGAGCATTGAAAGGAAATGGCCCAAACATGTAGCACTTTGGCATGAGTCAGGGCTTAGACCTATGTAAAATCCGAGACGTCTTAGCCATAGAAGGAAGTAGATCTCTGGCAAAACATCTATAGACGGACAGAACTAACATTACACAACGTCAACGTCTTTGAAGATTTACAGAGCGCCAAGTTACTATTTGAATGGTGAAGTATGATTCGTACAACCGCAGCCAGCATGGATTTAGAGCGGGATGATCATGGATGACACAACTCTTTAGAGCATTATGAACACGACTTAACGGATTAGGGTTGAACCCACGGTGAGTGAATCGTGAAATTCCAGCCAGTGTGCCATTGGTTCAAACTTCACCCGTTCCCTGGTTTGTTTACAATCGTTTTATTACGATTTCGTGAATTATAACAAAATTTTGGAAGATTAAGAAGAAACTCAAACGCTTTCCGTTTGCCATTTGAGAAATGCCATCATGGGGTGACTGCCCATGAAATACTGCCGATAAGTATAACAGAGATGGTAGGAATATTTTTGTAATAATATTGGTAGAATTACCCACAATATGTAAAGTAAAAGGACACAAGTGCAGCTAATGTGACATTTTATTGTGGCAACGTTTCGCTCTCCAGGAACTTTGTCAAGCCGTTACAAACAATATATGGACACATAAGGTACATATCCCCTATATACATACCCTCCGTGTCCATATATTGTTCGTAACTGCTTGACAAAGCTCCTGGAGAGCGAAAAGTTGCCACAATAAAAATGTCACATTAGTTGCACTTGTGTCCTCTTACTTTACATAGGAATATTTTTATTCAATTTTCTACCAAAACAAAGAAGAGGCAGTAAACAAAGAAATGCAAAAATTTCAGTACCCCTAAACAAGGTCCTCTTCTGGTAACAAACAGTTAAAAACACTTACCATAACTTCGTATCATCCTCTGTTGACTTCACCAAAATGAGGATGAAAGTTGTCTCGGTAGAACACACGTAGAATTTGACATCAAGAAAGTAGATGTCAGGAAAGTCGTCCAGTGGACACTAAAAAAAAAAATAGCATGATTTTTCAATAGTGACAAATTCCATCTGCTCAGATACGGAAAGAATAAAGAACTGAAACGGAGAACTGGATACAAAACACAAGAGAACCATCTCAGGACGATAGAAACATGTGAAAGATTTGGGTACAATAAAGTCAAATGACCTATTAGTTAGAGAATACAGTGTGATAAATGCCGTAAAGACCTGAAAAAATAAATGATTGATAACGAGAACTTTCAAAAAAATGAATAATTCCATTGGTGATACTATTTAAATCTCCTGTGCTCTCTCCTTCAGAACACTGATCTGTGTTGAAGGTTCCAGTCTGGAAAAGACAGATATTAGAGCTGGAAAAGGTAGAGAGGTCGTTTACTGCCAGCAGAAAGTTAACAGAGTATTTCAACTACTAGTAATATAAGAACATAAAGAGGAACACTGCAGCAGGCCTACTGGCCCATACTTGGCAGTTCCATGTCAAGCCGAATAACAGTTGGAATGTATTCTCTGGAGCAAAGATATTCAGTCACCAGATATCCCCCCCGCGTATTGAACAAGTGCGGTGTTAAAATATCCCAGAAAGGGTAGTGGATGCCATTGGCAATACTGAAGAATATACAATTCTTAAGTAAAATTCCGGCTACCTAGTCCCCGAATTTAATCATAGACACACAACGACGTTTTGAAAAGTGATAACAGGTTGATGAATAAAATGGCCATGAAAGTAGGGGACCCAGGGGCTAATAGAAGAATATCGTAACATCTCAGGTAACATTTCTCCTGGCTACCATAGATTTTCCATAATATAGGCCGGAATAAGTATTATTTTTCATACAGACATGATCAAAGCTTTTGTTAAGTGTTAATCAAACAAGGTTTTTTATACTAATGAGATGTCGTAAAAGCGCAAGCCTTTAGAAAGTTCTTACCCCAGCCCGCGGATGGTAAGGAGAAAGTCTCTCGTTTAACCGCGTTCCCTCAGGTACGTTCCTGAAGCAGCTCTTAGGTGAGTTTCCTTAATTGAAGGCCGTCGATATTTTTCTTTTCTTTTAGTTCTCATGACATGATTCAAGGAGCTGTTGTTATGGTATATACCTAAACTAATGTGCTTCCTTCCTTCCTTCCTCAGACTGACGATGTCGTCAAAGCGCAAGTCGCTCCCGACGAAGGTACTCGATTCTTACCCCGACCCCAGCGAGATGTTAATGGAGGAAGGTCCTCCCCTCGTTTCCACCACCGCCGCTGACTCCGACAACTCAGCTGGCGGCTCTGAGTACAGCTATGGCGACGAGGGTACCGTTGGCATGTCTCCGCCCGCACGCTGGTCCGACTCCGAGATACAGGCGTCCGGGGACGCTAAACGAAGCCGGCGGGAGAGCTCGGCCGATTCCGACGACCTAGCGCAGCACCTGCACCCCTTCGCCAACCCTTTCTTCCAGGCGCGGCTGCAGGAGGCGCGGCTGCAGCAGGAACACGCCCGGCTGCTTCAGGAAGCTGCCGTGGTTAGACATGAACAGCAGCAGCAACAACAGCAGCACCACCAGCACCATCAACAGCAGCAGCAACAGCTGCAGCACCACTCTACAGCAGCAACATTTTCAACACCAACAGCAGCAGCAACAGCAGCAGCATCAACATCAGCAGCAGCAGCAGCAACAACAACAAGTTCAACAACAACAGCAGCAGCAACAACACACAAGGAACTCTCTATCGCCCCTGACGGAGGCTGAGAGAGGTGGCTTGCTTGCCAGCGCTGTGGCCAGGAAGTCTATGGACGATGTGTTGAAGCGACTCACTTCGAAGATGAGCCACAGTTCAATCGACGACGCCGAAAGAGCCAAACGAGAACGAGAGAGGTAATTATCCATCCATCCACCCGATTATTCATCCATGCACCTTCACATCCAATCATGCACCTGATCATCTAACCATGTACCTGATCATCAAACCATCCACTTCTACGTAAAGAATAGAAAAAAGACACAATACTCGCTCTTGGGAGAGGACACGTGTGACAATAATTCGCTAATGTTTCCAGCACTCCAGCACTTCCAGCACTCTCTTCCTCTAACTCTATTTCTTCCACTCTCAATCATTTACGTTTTCATCCACCAGTTATAACTCTTAAATAAATGCACACCCTCACTCATATGAGTTCTCACCCACCATACTTGTAACTAAACCAAGGTACGGGTGGGAATTGAACTCGCGGTTAGTTAGCCACTGGCCCAGCTGGCAACAATATTATTCTAGAGTTTTACGACTCACTCACCGCGACTTTAATTCCCGTTTGCAATCGTGTCATTACTGTTTCATGAGTCATACTAGTAACTCATAGTCACTCACATGAGTTCTAACCCGCCACATTCATGACTCACAAAGACTCACCTCGCTAACACCTGTGTTCCCCACCCCACTCACTACTTTTCATTTCAGGCAACACTTGTCTAAATATTTTAAGTTAATTCTTGCATGTGTTTCCCAAGTAAGTCGAAAAACATAACCTTAAGTGCCAATATATTTGAGACACAAGATAATTCATGTAAAATTTTTCCATAATTAAAGATGACTGAGTGAAAGGTTTAAGTAAATATTTCTTTGGGAATTATACATGCAGTTATATATGTGCTTTCGTGCTTACTTGGTCAGTTCTATTATTTACCTCCCCCAGCCTTCCTCAGTAACTATTTTTCTTATTACCCAATTCGAGTTCATCTTGATTTTTCCAGCATTTTTTTTCTTATAGTGGAGGTCTCTCTCTCTCTCTCTCTCTCTCTCTCTCGCTCTCTCTCTCTCTCTCTCCTCTCCTCTCTCTCTCTCTCTCCTCTCTCCTCTCCTCTCTCTCTCTCTCTCTTCTCTCTCTCTCTGTCTCTCTCTCTTCTCTCTCTCTCTCTCTCATCATCTACTCTTTGTATTATTAAACATGTAATCTTTCCTTATCTCTGCGTAACTCTCTTCATCCTTTATCTATAACAACTACCGTTCATCCCTTTCCCCTCCCACTACTTTCCATTACTACCCCTATCATCACCCCTCCTCCTACTCCTCCTCCTCCTTCTCTTCCCTCCCCCTCCACAACAACTGAACCCATCTCTCCATCGCTCAATACCTGACTCAACATCTTGTGTCTTTGGCGTGTCTCCCTGCACAGCGGGAAGCCCCTGGAGTGCCGCACGTCTCCTCCCAGTCCTCCCGTCTCCTCCAGCGGCGGAGGCGGAGGACCGATAGGAGACCCCCTGGCCTCCATGAACCAGCTCCTCAGCGCAGACCCGGAGGCCCTGCACAACCAGGAGAAGCGCATCACGGAGATTATCGGTCAGCTGCAGAAGCTGCGGGACTCAATCAGGCAGCAGCAGCCGCAGGAGCCCCAGCATGATAAGGTAAGTGCCAGGTGGTGCCAGGTGGTGCCCAAGGAGGGCGTCTTTGTGTCTTCTCTATTTTATTGTTGTGTTGTCGTGAGAGGGTTTCTCCAGGGTACGCATCCCTATAAGAAGTGTATATCCCACTATCACACTCCTGTAACCCTCTTTCCCCCACTGATATTTGTTCCATCAAAATTGGTTTCTAAGACAGGGGAAAGAATAGCAACGCCAGCAGCTCCTTAGAGAACTGTAGCTGTTGGCTATTATTCTGCAGTTTGAGGACCTTCAAACTGAGTCCAGTCCCCTAGTCATTGATAGCAGTATGACCTCCAGTCAAAGCAGTGTAACCTCCAATAGAAGCAGTGTGACCTTGAGAATAAAAAAAAAGACAGTGGTGAAAAAAAAGCATAATTTGGAGAACAGGCTTTGGTTAGCACAGGGTTTCACTCTGTTAAGATCTCTATCAAGACTTTGATAATAGAGTTTAACAGAACGAAACGTTGCTCCAGTAAGAGCTTGCTCAGAAAAGTGAGACTTTACTTCACTAGCATCAGCAGCACGTCTTTACTGCTATGAGAACGTTGCTTGAATTCTTTGGCGTCGAAATAGATCATTGGCTCTTGGATTCAATTGCAAAAGCAAATGCAACAACAATAAGGTAAATACAACTTAGTACATGAAGACCCCGCTCAGCCTCGCGGGATGGAAGTGAAACTGTCTCCGAAATCAACAGGTATTTACCCTCATTTGCGTTCTGCGGGTGTTAATAGGTATTTACCTAACGCTCTGCCTCGCGATTAGCGGACAGAGAACCGAGCCTCCACCGGTCCTAGCGCTGGAGGGCCCACACGTGATTATCGGTCAATGCAAATTCTATGTTATGGGGGTTCGATAGGAAAAGTGATGGTAGAAACGACTGTTGACTGTTGTGGAGGCGTTGTACTGATAATTGTAGCTAGCCCAGCCTGTCCCTCTGCTACGCCTGGTCGAGAGTGGGAGGCCTCTGGCCGACGGCCTACGTGCGTAGTTCGAAGGGCTTGCCCAGGGAGCCTAGGCTTGGCCAGGGAGCCTGCCTATAAAATACTGCACAAGTATTACACTGTTGACATCTTTCTAGATACCTTAAGTCATTCTGATGGTGCTATAGTTACTGAGTATTTTGTTTTGGCTTGGATTCTGGGTGTGGTGCGACGTGACACAACATCACCACTGGCACCACCACCACTGACACTTCACTGGCACTCACTCCCTCTAGCACCACCACTAACACTCCCACTACCACCACCACCAATGACACATCACTGGCATTCCCTCTGGTACCACCAGTGACATTCCTACTGGTATTGGCACTGGCACTCCCACTACCACCACCATCACTACCACCACCACCACTAACACTCCCTCTGGTCCCGCCAGTGACACTCCTACTGGCAGTGGCTTTCCCACTATCACCACCACTAGCACTCCCTCTGGCCCCACCATTGACACTCCTACTGGCACTGGTACTACCACTGGCACTGGCACTGCCACCTGTGATCTGGAAGCATGAACATTAAATTGGTATTCACTGGTGTTTCTTTGATCCAGATTTATTCTTTGTCGTTCGTTTCCTCTCGTCTTTTGGCTTTTCCTCTTTTGTCTCACTTGTTTCTTTCCCACTACTTTTCTTACACCCCTCCTCCCCCTGGCGGCAGGGGGCAGTGTGTCAGTGGGCAGGGCAGGTGACCAGGGTGTAGAACATTGGGGAGGGGGATAGTTAACAGTAGGAAAAGGCAGGGAATTGGACAGAGTCTAGGGTGAGGAAGATTGCAGAGCAAGGGACAGAAGGCAGGGGCAGGGGAAGAGGACAGTGGGCAGGGGAAAACGGCAGGGGGCAGGGGAGGACAAACCCACCCACCCCCAGGGAAAGGTGATGGTCTCACTGGAGACAGACAAGTCAATAATGGCTGATGGTGCATCAAAGTGCCTAGCCTTCATTACCTATTCCCTCAATCTCCTCCCGAGGAGACGGTAGGGTCCTCCTCCTCCTCCTCCTCTTCTTCGACTTACTCCTCTCCTCCTCCTACCTGCACCATCACCATTGCTACCACCAACGACATCACCTATGTACTCACCCAGCCGCACTGGAAGGGATATCAAGTTATGCCTCCTGGTTCCCATCTCTTCATTACTCCCGCAGGGTCATACATAATTCCTGACCTCAGTGACACTTTCCCTTAAAAAGTGCCACATCTGAGCTAAGCTCTTGGCTTCATCACCTCGGCACTGAGATTGTCAAAAGTCATTTTTTTTATAATATGTTTTCAGGGGTAGTATCACACACTGCTTCCTCTTGGATCCCATTCCAGCAGCTTCCAACTCCATATGAAGAAATACTATCGTTATGCTCTTTGGGCATCTGTATTTCCTCAGGTCACAGATGCAGAGATGGAATTTGATTATAATTTTGGTTGGTAAACTGTTTTCTTCTGAATATGAGGCAGGATGTGTTGAATATGTAAATAATATATATAGAAAATAGGTCAGAAAGGTCGAGAAACGATGGAAATTAGGTGTAACGTTGAAATGTGAAGCAAATGAGTTTTTTTTTTCATTGTTTCCCTAATATATGGTGTAAGGAATTTTTCTCTTAACCATATATATGGGACGGTTATAGTGTTTACTCCGTTTATCCTTCCAGTGTTGACCAGAAGGTAGTCCCTCTCTCTCTCTCTCTCTCTCTCTCTCTCTCTCTCTCTCTCTCTCTCTCTCTCTCTCCCACACTCTTGTTGTCTCTGCTGTTGTTCTCGACCTTTGCAAAACATTTTAATTTATATCGACAAACTCTATCAAAAATTGATCAAAGTCACTTCGTTGTTCCCTCCCTCCACCTTCTACCTCCCTCCCCCCCCACCTCTGCCTCCCTCCCTCCACCCTTCTCCTCCCTCCCTTCACCTTCTCCTCCCTCCCTTCACCTTCTACCTTTCCCTCCCCCCCCTTCTGCCTCCCTCCCTCCACCTTCTGCCTCCCTCCCTCCACCTTCTGCCTCCCTCCCTCCACCTTCTGCCTCCCTCCCTCCACCTTCTTCCCCCCCCCCCTCCACCTTCTGCCTCCCTCCCTCCACCTTCTCCTCCCTCCCTTCACCTTCTGCCTCCCTCCCTCCACCTTCTGCCTCTCTCTCCCTCCACCTTCTGCCTCCCTCCCTTCACCTTCTGCCTCCCTCCCTCCACCTTCTACCTCCCCTCCTTACCACCTTCTGCCTCCCTCCCTCCCTTCTACTCCCTCCTCCTCCTTTCCCGCCTCCCTCCCCACCCTTTTCTGCCTCCCTCCCTCCACCTTCTGCCTCCCTCCCTCCACCTTCTGCCTCCCTCCCCTCCCTCCACCTTCTGCCTCCCTCCCTCCACCTTCTGCCTCCCTCCCTCCACCTTCTGCCTCCCTCCCTCCACCTTCTGCCTCCCTCCCTCCACCTTCTACCTCCCTCCCTCCACCTTCTGCCTCCCTCCCTCCACCTTCTGCCTCCCTCCCTTCACCTTCTGCCTCCCTCCCTCCACCTTCTGCCTCCCTCCCTCCACCTTCTGCCTCCCTCCCTCCACCTTCTACCTCCCTCCCTCCACCTTCTGCTCTCCTCCCTCCACCTTCTGCCTCCCCCCTCCACCTTCTGCCTCCCTCCCTCCACCTTCTACCTCCCTCCACCTCCCTCCTTCCCCGCTGCCTCCCTCCCTCCACCTTCTACCTCCCTCCCTCCACCTTCTGCTCCCTCCCTCCACCTTCTGCCTCCCTCCCTCCACCTTCTGCCTCCCTCCCTTCCACCTTCTGCCTCCCTCCCTCCACCTTCTCCTCCCTCCCTCCACCTTCTGCCTCCCTCCCTCCACCTTCTGCCTCCCTCCTCCACCTTCCCGCCTCCCTCCCTCCACCTTCTAGCCTCCCTCCCTCCACCTTCTGCTCCTCCCTCCCTTCCCCCTTCTGCCTCCCTCCCTCCACTTTGCTCCCTCCTCCACCTTCTCCCTCCCTCCACCTTCTGCCTCCCTCCCCTCCACCTTCTACCTCCCTCCCTCCACCTTCTGCCTCCCTCCCTCCACCCTTCTGCCTCCCTCCCTCCACTTCTGTCTCCTCCTCCCTCCACCTTCTACCTTTCCCCCCCTCCACCTTCTGCCTCCCTCCCTCCACCTTACTTCGCCTCCCTCCCTCCACCTTCTACCTCCCTCCCTCCACCTTCTGCCTCCCTCCCTCCACCTTCTGACCTCCCTCCCTCCACCTTCTTGCCTCCCTCCCTCCACCTTCTACCTCCCTCCCTCCACCTTCTGCCTCCCTTCCCTCCACCTTCTACCTCCCTCCCTCCCTCTCTGCCTCCCTCCCTCCCCCCTTCTGCCCCCCTCCCTCCACCTTCTACCTCCCTCCCTCCACCCTTCTGCCTCCCTCCCTTCACCTTCTGCCTCCTCCCTCCACCTTCTGCCTCCCTCCCTCCACCTTTCTGCCTTCCCTCCCTTCACACTTCTGCCTCCCTCCCTTCCCCCTTCTCCTCCCTCCCTCCACCTTCTACCTCCCTCCCTTCACCTCTGCCTCCCTCCCTTTACCTTCTGCCCCTCCCTCCTCACCTTCTGGCCTCCCTCCCTCCACCTTCTGCGTCCCTCCCTTCACCTTCGCCTCCTCCCTCCCTCTACCTCCCTCCCTCCACCTTCTAATCCTCACCTCCCTCCACCCTTCTGCCTCCCTCCCTCCACCTTCTGCCTCCCTCCCTCCACCTTCTCCTCCCTCCCTCACCTTCTACCTCCCTCCCTCCACCTTCTGCCTCTCCCTTCCCTCCCTCTCCACTCTTCTGCCTCCCTCCCTCCACCTCTGCTCCTCCCCTCACCTCTACTCCCTCCCCACCTTCTGCCTCCCTCCCTTCACCTTCTGCCTCCCTCCCTCCACCTTCTGCCTCCCTCCCTCACCTTCTACATCTCCTCCCTCCCCTCCCCCACCTCTGCCTCCCCTCCCTTCCACCTTCTGCCTCCCCCCCTTCCACCTTCTACCTCCCTCCCTTTTACTTCACCTCTACCTCCCTCCCTCCACCTTCTGCCTCCCTCCCTCCACCTCCCTCCCTCCCTCCCACCTTCTAACTCCCTCCCTCCACCTTCTCCTCCCTCCCTCCACCTCTGCCTCCCTCCCTCCACCTTCTTCCTCCTCCCTCCTTCTGCCTCCCTCCCTTCACCTTCTACCTCCCTCCCTCCACCTTCTCCTCCCTCCCTCCACCTTCTGCCTCCCTCCCTCCACTCTTCTGCCTTTCCCCCCCTCCACCTTCTGCCTCCCTCCCCCCTTCACCTTCCTCTCTACTCCCTCCCTCCACCTTCTGCCTCCCTCCCTCCACCTTCTGACCTCCCTCCCTCCACCTCCTTGCCCTCCCTCCCTCCACCTTCTGCCTCCCTCCCTCCACCTTCTACCTCCCTCCCTCCACCTTTCTCCCTCCCTCCCTTCCACCTTCTACCTCCCTCCCTTCACCTTCTTGCCTCCCCCCTCCACCTTCTGCCTCCCTCCCTTCACCTTCTACCTCCCTCCCTCCCACCTTCTGCCTCCCTCCATCCACCCTTCTGCCTCCCCCCTCCACCCTTCTCCTCCCTCCCTCCACCTTCTTCCCCCCTCCCTCCCTCCACCTTTCTGCCTTCCCCTCCCCCCTCCACCTTCTGCCTCCCTCCCTCCACCTTCTACCTCCCTCCCTCCCTCCACCTTCTGCCTCTCTCCTCCACCTCTGCCTCCCCCTCCCCTGTCCCCCACCTCTAACCCTCCCTCCCTCTACCTCCTCCCTCCACCTTCGCCTCCCCCACCGGGGGGGCTACCTCGCCCCTCCCTCACCCACCCACCCTCCCCACCTTCCTACCTCCCTCCCTCCACCTTCTGCCTCCCTCCCTTCACCTTCTGCCTCCTTCCCTCCACCTTCTGGCCTCCCTCCCTCCCTTCTGCCTCCCCCTTCACCTTCTCACTCCCTCCCTCCACCTTCTGCCTCCCTCCCCCTTCCCCTCCCTCCTTCTGCCTCCCTCCCTCCACCCTTCTGCCTCCCTCCCTCCACCTTCTACCTCCTCCCCTCCACTTCTAACCTCCCTCCCCTCCACCTTCCTGCCTCCCTCCCCCTAATCAAGATGCCCCTTCCCCCTTCTGCCTCCCTCCCTCCACCTTCTGCCTCCCTCCCTCCACCTTCTACCTCCCTCCCTCCACCTTCTGCCTCCCTCCCTCCACCTTCTGCCTCCCTCCCCTTCCCTCCACCTTCTGCCTCCCTCCCTTCACCTTCTGCCTCCTCCCTCACCTTCTGCCTCCTCCTCACCTCTGCTCCCTCCCTCCATCATCTGCCTCCCTCCCTCCACCTTTCCTCCCTCCCTCCCCTTCTGCCTCCCTCTCCTCCACCTTCTGCCTCCCTCCCTCCACCTTCTGCCTCCCTCCCTCTCCTTCTACCTCCCTCCCTTCACCTGCCCTCCCTCCCTCCACCTCCTGCCTCCCTCCCTCCACCTTTTGCCTCCCTCCCTCCACCTTCTACTCTCCCCCCCTCCACCTTCTGCCTCCCCCCCCTAAACCTTCTACCCCCTCCCTTCACCCCCATCTTCCTGCCATTTCCCCACCCTTTCTTCCCTCTCTCTACCTCTTACCTTTCTCC